GGGGGGGGGAGGGGGGAGAGAGGGAGGTTAAGAAGGAGGGGGAGAGAGGGCGACGACACTCAGAAGCCGACTGGAACATACCGGTAGTTGCGACAAGCTGAGGAAATAGTCAGCGGCGAGAGATACAGAGAGCTGATGTATAGAGAGATACAGCGCAACAAGAAAGGCGTACTGAAATTTTTCAAGCGGAGAACCAAGCCCGAAGACCAAGCTGAATTTACCCGCCGCGAACACGAGCACACACATTGCATCCGCACCCCCCACAAACGAACACCGGCGAACACACGAAGAAGGCACGAGACCCACCATGCAATCGTCCATGATCCCCGAGGCAATGTTCGCGCAAGCATCAAGGTTAGCGCCGTAGGTGTTCTTCGTCTGGTCCGACACCTTCTGGTTGCACTTGGTCAAGGACCCGTCGTAGGTCAACGTGCAATCCTTGGCGCACTGTTCTTTTTGTTGTCCGTGTCGACAAAGCGAGAGAGAGGGAAGAACAAAGCAGCACAGGTGGGGAAGGGTAAGAGCCTAGCGGCGATATGTAAATGCGGAAAGCAACGGGTGTAAGACATGTTTGGGTACCGACGTAAATCCTCACGAATGAACGGTTTGACATTACCGTCATGAAACCCGGTAACACCAGCAGTTCCTTCGCGGTTCCCTATCTCCAAACGGGATTGGAAGGCGGGATGCGGGCAACGAGGGTATCGTCGAGACAGCCTACAGACTGCCCTCAGCCTCCCACGCCTCAAATACCGAATCAAGATATACTATTATAGCTGTCGCTACAACGAGCGACAGCTGATAGACGTAACTGTCGTCAGACGTGTGCGTTCACGGGCGGAAACAGAGCGCACCACACACTTGATACTGCACCCACTACCTGCTGTGTTGGTGCAAACGTTAACTTTCACCTACCCGTTATCCCCCCTCCCCGTCCACATCCCGCTTTCGTGGTCATACATACCCCCCGCATACTAGTGGTGAACCCCCTTTCCCTCCTTTTATGTTCGGTCGGTGTTTGTCCAACTGCCAGGGAAACAGCAGGACATAAGTCAGCTCTCGTCACCTAGTGCACCAATCGTCATAGCACCACTTCGAGCGTGTGCTCCATTGCGATATGTCGGGGCGTGACAGTTGTGTAAGGCATGGGTGCTGTGTGCGGGAAGACTTTCGTAGCGGCGTGGAATCCAAATCGTTCTGGTTTGGCCCGGGCAATCGGGCCGCATCGCCCCAGACGAAAAAGCCAAACCGGATTTCACATCGCCACCATGCTCTCGCCACATACAGCACCCATGCCGAACATAACTATCACGCCCAGAGACATCACAATGGATAACACGCTCGAAGTGGCGAGAACTAATGGGGTGATGCGCTCACATTGCTGGCAGTTGCACGCGGCGGTAAAAAAAAAACATGCGTGACAGAGCAATAGAGCATTACATAGCCTCATCACACCACAGAGAGTCCAGCGCCATCGAGCCTACATGCTGTCGCCCGCTGTGCGTGTGTGTCGCCTGTTATGCGTACGCTGTCTGCTGCAATCCAGTGTGCTCCGAAAAAAAAAAAGTGCATCTGCTGATCCCGTAAGTCTAAAATCAAGTCATGTAGTCTAAAACCAAGTTGAAGAGAACAGACACACGCACGTGCAAACTTTTTTCCTGACTGAAGCGGTATATTTCAGGCGAGATTATAAATCTCGCTTAGCTCGAATAACATCCCACATTTGATCAGCACCATGTGTGGAGATCCAAACGACCATGGGGGGGGCAGCGTGGATGTAGAGATTCAAACACCCGATGGGCGTCGCAATGGTCTACCCAGCCCGGACCACGGGGAGAGTCTGCACGAGATCGGAAAATTGGATGGAGAAAAAAAAGCAGGCTTGTCGGACACTCGCCTCCACGTAAGCCAGCGTCTCGGCGCTGTCCGTGCACGCAGCCTGTGCGGTCATGCATCCGGTGCTGCAGTCCGTGAGGTTGAAGTCCTCATCCTCCGCCGTGGTGGCGTACACGCAGTTCAGGTCGCACAGCTCGCGTTTGTCCCAGCAGGTCATTCCCTTGCCGGGCATCTACACAGAAATGAAAAAAAAAAATCAACACGGATCGGGTGGGGGGACATGAAAAACAATCATGTTAGCTGTGTAAGGTGTTGGGGACTCAGCTTTTAGTACAAGGCATTGGACACTCGTGAGATGCATACCGTATATGACACAAGATAGCACATCCCCTTGACCAATTTTCGAAGCTCCATTTCTCAGCTGCAGGAAAAGCCACAGCGCCGAAAACGGTGGCGTTGAAACCGTCTCGTCGAGAACTTTTCGAAAATGTATCTTTTCGTTTATGCATTCTCTTCGTGGAGTAATCGAGCTTTGAAAATCGGTCCAGGGGGTGTGTTATCTTGTGTCATGTACGGCAAGCTTTTGAACGCTCTCTAACGACTGCTGTAGATGTGGGCGGGTTACGGCAGTCGGATGGGCGGATGATCAACGCAAATGCAAAACCTCGCCTGCTGAGTATCACAAAGCGCTTAGAGGTGGTGAAGGTGGGGTGCACATGGTGGAGCCTTGAGTGCACATAGGAAGAATAGAACTTGGCCGCCTTCCGTGCCTCGAGCACCCATCTTCCGCTTTGATTGACCTACCTCACAGGCTCGCAGGGAACTAGCATCACTTCTACCCTACTTTCCAAAAGATGCATACAGCCGTGGCTCCGTTGTAAGAGGGTAAGTACCTCATACGAGCGGTGTGGTTCCGATATAAGAGGGTCGATATCGGTTGTCGCATGGACTCGAACCTTTAAACTAGTTGTGTACTCGCTACAACAAGGGTATACGATACAAGAGGGTCCAGGGCCATTGTCGCGCAACCCTCTTCTATCGGAGCCACGACTGTCTACAATCACAGAAGGACTGCCCGTTAGGGCAAATGCCACATCAACCACAAACGCGTTGAGAGCACGGCGATTGCGCCGACATCGCAGTAAAACACAGCCGAGAGCGAGCTCTCCTGTCTTCCTACCTCAGGGCCGGACAGCAGGGATACGTGTGTATGTGCGGGCAGGTTCACCCCTGGGACGTGGGAATCATTTTGTCCTTGTATGCACAGCCTGATCTAGCAAAACATTTTTTCGGGATTAGCCTGTGACCACGGGAATCGACCGCGTCAAGTGTTTCACTATTCATAGTACGGACAGAACAAGGTACCGGGCAGAGAGAACGGCAAGATTGTTGATGTGAAGACAGCAACAACAATAAGCCTGACGGCGACGATACCACTATAGCGCGTGCTCACTTCTAAAGAACGCGTTGGTTGGCTGCAGTTGAACGCGATGCAGCACGCTTTCTTGCCCTCCGCCAGTTTCATTCATCAACGGTACGAACAATTACATCCAATTACAAAAAATACTGCCGCGGGGAAACACAAACAAAAATAGGGTACAAAACACTCGGAAAGAGAAAACAAAATGATAAAAGGAACAGCTACCGCACCGACCGGTCGAGAAAAGAGCCCTCGGAAACCGATCAAAATAACAAGAGGTGGATTTGTTGTGTGATAACAAGAAACTAAAAAAAAAGTAAGGACGCCTCCCACACCCGCCTAAAGAAAAAACTTCAACAAACTTTATCTGGTTTTGTCGGCATATTCTTTGGAGAGTATTTGCATGACACGCTGTTCGCTGATGTGTGTATCGCGTCGATTGCGTAAAAGATTTGGAAACCATAAACATGGGCCTTGTTTATGGTTTCCAAATCTAAGGCCCATGTCCCATGTTCATGGTTTCCAAATCTAAGCCCCATCTTCATGGTTTCCAAATCTTACGCACGATACCCACATCTGCGAACAACGTGCCATGAAAATACTCTCCAAAGAATATACGGATCACATCAAACAACAAAACAAAAAATGACGATGGAACCAAGGGGGAAAATTGTGAGAGGGGGGGATAAAACACGTTGCTTCTCTCTGCCCACGGCATGTAAATAGGCCCGGGGACGGACATCGACCTCGAGAGCAGGAGGTTCTATGCTCCACGGCAGTTGTTGGTTGTACAACTACGGCTGTGCGTACAACGGAGGGTCGCGCAGCACGCTGTACCTCCCCAGTCCTATCTCCCACGCTCACGGTCCCTGGTTTCTCCGAGCAAGCAATAAAGCGTGCTCGTTGCCGAAAACACCACCCACGTACATATAACCCGGTGACGGGTCCAAAACAAAGGCAGGACACGCGCACACTGCGAGCCTCTCACCTCCTGGGCGGACGCACAGTCAGAGGCGAGGAGAGTGGCGACCGCCAGCACAGCCACGGCTGTTCGTCCGCACGTCCGCTTCGCGCCGGCCATATTGCTCCAGCAACTCTTTCTCTCTCCGCTGATCTACTCTCCGTGCAAAGCCGCCGTGTATGGCGTCTAGGTAGAGGTGGAGATTCGGAAGGCAACGGCAATAGCAACCCTTCAGTTTTCTTGACAGAGGAGTGTCGGGTCGTCCGTGACGACAGAGGAGGGCGTTACTGCAATCTATCCAGCGACACAGCAGCGGTAGAGGCGAGATGTGGTTCGAGGTGCGCAGGGCGAGAGGGGAAAAATCCCGGCGGGGGGGATACAGCAACGGAGCCCCTGCTGCTCCACCAATCATCGCACAGATCAGGTCAGATCGGACCGTGGTCTCTGACGAGCTGCTCTTGGACCCTTTGCCGTTCTGCCTCGGATCATTGTCTGTGAGTTATCGCGTCCCTTCCTGTTGTGGCAGAAGTTGAATGAGTTGGCAACCTACTGCCTGAAGCATGTACATATATGCAACACGGGTTTACGGCTACGGTATATGGTCCGTTCGGGCAAATATTCACAATCTTGTTTTTCGCGATACAGTAGTGGGCCCTATATAGTGCAGGGGTCTGTCGTGAGAATTTACCTGCACTATAGCAGGCACCTGCACTACTGAAAAGGGTGCCCTCGATAGTGCAGGTTCTGCACTATTGGGGCTTTGAATATTTCTCAATAGTGCAGGTTCTGCACTATTGAGGCACTCTTCGACTTCACGTAGTGAGTGTGGCGTCCGCGCTTTGCGGGGCCAACAGAGTACGCAATGGATCGAGATTGTGGATTAATATTTAGTGGACGAAGCTAACTCTCAGTCCTCGTTGCCTGCCTTCCCTCGATGTTGGTGATAGGAAAAGACTTGCGTGTATAAAACAAATACGACAGAAAGCCCACTGCAAAAACACGAGCAACCATGTACTGCTGGTCCCTGCCATCATTACGTGATGATCAAACTCTCATGTCTCCCTGGCGCACATGGCTTCGATTTAGCACGAACCAACACACACACAACCAGCCAGGCGCAACCTCACTCCGTCGTGCCAATTTATCTGCCCCCTGCCGCACCGGTTGCTATGTTGCAAGAAAAAAAAACACAAGTAAAAAAGAGAGAAAAACATGCAGGAAGGTCACTGCAAAGAAAAATCAAGCAAGCATGCACCCCGCACCCTTGCTAACGTCGTGACAAACTCCTTTATGACTGCACGGCGCACCCGCTGCGATGTTGGGAAAAAAAAAAAAAAGAAACGAGAAAGGCGCATAGGAAGCTGACTGCAAGGAAAAAAAAACAACCACGTACACCCGCCGCTTTCACTACGTCTCGACAAACTCTCTCATGTCTGCCTGGCGCACCCGCGTAGCGGCATGCGCTACGATCATCGCCATTTTTGCTTTCTGCAGATGGAACGCCGCGTCTCCATTGCCACTCTCATCTGCTGCCGATTCCAGGACGCCGAAGTGAGGTGACAGCTCACTATAAGCCGGTGGAGCACGGCGCTCGCGCCCCGTTTTCTCACCGCCACCGCCATCTTCCGTTCCATCTTCCTCATCGCAGCCGGAAGAAATTTCTTGTTCGTCGGGCATTGAGATGGTCCCGCCCCAGCACCCTCAGCACCCTCAGCTGGTATCTCTTTGCGCTTGCCAGCTCTTGCGACGCACGAGCAGCAGATTCGCCTTGTTTCGATGTCGCCAACCATGCTGCCGCAGTTGCCGTGGAGCCGCCCGCCACATCCTCCATGACAGACGTGGCCATGAGGGGCTTGCGGCGTCTTGTCTGGTTGGTGGCACAGCTCACCGTCCGCACAAGGCATGGTGCGCCTCTGC